CAGAGTGAGAGGCGCGCTCTTTATTATGCAGCACACACGTAAGCAGTGTGGAAGCATTTAAACTGTCGGAGAAAGACACAAAAATCATTACAAGCACCGACAGTGAGAGAATGTTTAGGACTGCATCGCATGTCTAAAATGAGAAGAGGAAGGGGTGATTGTTGCTGGTTACTGTATGATGATTGAAATCACGAAATGGCCTTAAACACGAACCAAATAAGCGAAAAGACAGAATAAATTGTACCGAACAATGATATGACGCGATCACATAGCAACCAGCGCAGAGTGAGAGGCGCGCTCTTTATTATGCAGCACACACGTAAGCAGTGTGGAAGCATTTAAACTGTCGGAGAAAGACACAAAAATCATTACAAGCACCGACAGTGAGAGAATGTTTAGGACTGCATCGCATGTCTAAAATGAGAAGAGGAAGGGGTGATTGTTGCTGGTTACTGTATGATGATTGAAATCACGAAATGGCCTTAAACAATTAGTAAATAAACTGCAGAACTTTGTTTTCCAATACATGGAATTGCATGCATTCTGACAGATTCTGCACGAGCTCGCAGCAGATCTGCTTGTTAACCAGGGTTCAAAGTCCAAAGCGTGAGGAAAATCTGCGCTTATACAGTTGTCAGTTGCTCAGTCACATTTTTATGAATTTTTACAAGGCATGTGACAATGCGATACGTACGACGTATTCGTAATGAGACTCATTTATAAATCTGTTATCAACAAAAATAAGCATTGAGGTCTTCCTGCCAAAATAAAAGTTGAGAAAAAGCAAGAACGTTAGCAAGAATGTTAGTATTGTAATTTTACTGTTCTGTAAAATAAAATAAAAAGTAAGACAATAATAAGGATAATAATCATTACAACAGCTCTGTTTTAATACATTTATTATAACATTCACACATAGTGTTCAAATTAGGATCTGTAATATTTTCTAATGTCTTAAAAGAAGTCTCTTGTCAGCAAGGCTGCTTTTAATTGTACAGTAAAAAAATAAAAAATAAAAAACATGCCTGATTCAAGATGGCCAAAAATTATTTTAGAAACATATTAATTTGAAGTTAAATTGTGCTTTGTTGGTATAGTGTCTGCTAGAATGTTAAAAATGTTCAGTGTTAAATATTTTTAAATTGTTGTTTAGTAATTGATTTTTTTTTGAAAAGCAAGACAAAACAGTAAAAAGCACATTTTGGCTTTTTAATTTATGCAATGGTGCAAAAAAAGAATTGGAGAAAATACATGGGGAAAAACCGTGTTCGATATTCGGCCTTCAGCCCAGTGTTTAATTTTGTTCGGTTTCGGCCAAGAATTTTCATTTCGGTGCATCCCTATTTATATTGTATTTATTTACAGAGGTATATTATGTCACACTTCTCTAGTAAGTTTCATCTGTGTGTGAAGACAGTAGCACAAATCCGTGAATGAATGTTCCAAAGTGAAAAACTTCAACTGGATAAAGTTTAATGGAATTGAATTGAATTAAAGTTGAATAAACTTCAACTTTACTGTTCAGTGCACTGATGTCAGACTCAGTTTGGATAATAAAGTTTATTGTTAAATTGTTAAATGCCCTGCCTCCATTACATATCTCTGTACTATAATATACACAAAGAATATCGGCTGATATATCGATATCGGCCTTTTTACTCCCTAATATCGGTATCAGCCCCAAAAAACCCATATCGGTTGGGCTCTAGTTCTCAGCACCCCACCCCGGTGCCATCTTTCCCGGAAGTGCATGAGGGGCTTACCAGGTTGTGGATGGCACCTTTTTCTGCTTGAAACCGATCTTCTTACTCCTTCTCCCTCACCACTCTCGACGGTGGTGCATCTAGGGTGTATACGGGGGTCCCCCCGGTGGAGCGGTCGGTTGCGATGCAGTTGTGTCCCAATACCGCCTCCACCCGGCAGGGCGAACCGTGCCTCCCCTCCCAGGTCTATAGGTACTCGTCTGGTCTGTCCAGCGATGCTTATACGGCCTGTGGAGAAGCTGTCTCTGCCTTACACACTAAGGTGTTACTGCAGGTTCTTTAGGCTAAAGCACTGAGGGACCTACACAAGGGTGGTCATGATCCGGAAGTTCTAAAAGAGCTCTGAACCGCAAACTGATCTCGCGCTCTGAGCGACGAAGGTCACCATGAGTTCTCTGGGTCATGCGATGTCCACACTTGTGGTCCAGGAGCGTCACCTCTGGTTGAGTCTGGTTGACATGAGGGACGCCGACAAAGTTCGATTCCTTAAGGTCCCTGTGTCCCAGACCGGCCTTTTCGGCGACACAGTCGAGAACATGGCCCAGCAGTTCTCGGCTGTGCAGGAACAGACTGAGGCAATCCGAAGTTCTGCCCCGGCGGGCAGCTGCTGCCTCCGCCCGTCCGCCGGCTGCAGTGGCCCAGCCTGCTCGTCGGCGAGGGCGGCCCCCTGCGTCCACCCCGCTCCCGTGCTGCATCCGTAGCAGCCTCAAGCAAGCGGCACCGTGGAGCTGGGTGTAGGCAGGCCTGAGCAAGAGGCCTCGGGAGGGGCGACCCAGAGAGAGAGGGAACTGCTCTTTGGGGGATGATGAATGCACCTCTCCCTCCCCCGGAGGAGGGCCGAGTAGATAATCTGGTTTCCAAAAATCTTTTTTTTTTTTGAAGACAGGTTTTCTCTGTCTCTGGGTCCCAAGAGGGCATGGAGAGTCGTGGACGGACCACACTCATTCTCCTCTCTCACCAGCAGGCAGCAGCGTACGGTTCGAGAGCGTTATCAAAGGTCCTACTCACGCACCATTTGCCAAACTGTGGAACCAGGTAAGTGTTGCACTGCACACTCAGACCCCTCTTCAGGTCCCTGCATTCCACCTTGCTGCCCCACCACGGGTATGTCGGTGGTCCCGCTAGTTCAGCTTGTGTGGTGTCTGGGTGCCTGGCTACCCAAACTTTAGCTAGCTCCTTTTTGTCTTGAACCGGGTCCTTCACCGGTTACCGTTAAAGATGTTGACGCAGGAATGCATCTTCGGGTGCATCCGTCGCCGAGATTGGTTTGCAGCAATCGACCTGAAGGGCACGTACTTTCATGTGTCGATCCTTCCGCATCACAGACCATTGCTGCGGTTCGCGTTCGAAGGACGAGCATCTCAGTAGGATGTCCTGCCCTCCAGGCCTGTCGCCCCATGACTTCATGTAAGTTGCGAAGACAGCCCTTGTTCCCGAGAGAACACGGCGTTCGCATTCTCAACTATCTCGATGACTGGCTCATACTAGCTCAGTCTCAGGATCAGTTGTGTGCACACAGGGACTTGGTGCTTTCGCACGTTAGCCGGTTAGGCCTTCGGGTCAACTGGGAAAAGAGCAAACTCTCCTTGGCGCAGAGGATCTCTTTTCTCAGTATGGAGTTGGATTCGGCAGCCGACAAGCTGTCACGAGCTGCACTCCCTGGAGAATGGAGACTCCATCCCCAGACGGTCCAGCTGATTTGGAGTCGTTTCGGAGCCGCTCAGGTAGACCTGTTTGCCTGTCCAGAATCCTCTCACTGCCTTTTGTTCTACTCCCTGACCGAGGGAACACTCGGCACGGACGCACTGGCACACAGCTGGCCGCGGGGCCTTCGCAAGTATGCGTTTCCCCCAGTGAGCCTTCTTGCAAAGACACTGTGCAAGATCAGGGAGGATGAGAAACAGGTCCTGCTCGTGGTGCCTTACTGGGTTGCAATCACCTCTAATCTTCCATATGCTCTTAGACGGTTGTTCATATGTATAAGTGCTTCCGAAACCTCCCTCGGGAAGGATGGGATTCTGCAACGTTCCGGTTCCAAGTGGAACGGGCACGTTTTCCCAGTGTTATCCAGTCTTACTGAGTGGGTAGTGCCATAGCAGCCGTAACTGGTCTTCTTGTGGTAATCCCCAGCCTATGCCAAAAAGAAGGGGCGCAGGAAGCTTCCACAGGTCACTGGCAGGGGCAGTGTCTGTGGCACTTTGGTAGGGATCCCAATTCGTCGGTCATCCGACGTGACGTCGAGAGTGACCGACTGAAAGGGAACATCTCGGTTACGTATGTAACCCTTGTTCCCTGAAAGAGGGAACGGAGATGCCACGTCCCGTCGCCACGGCTGCTGTACCACCGCTGAGCAGCCAGGTCACTGGCTCGGCTCCTCAGCAAAAACCTGAATATGTGCTGCACCTGCTGCCTACTTATACTCATGCTGTGATCAGTGGCAGCTGGATGCAATAATCGCATGCCAATGTGCATTGGCTCGTTTAGTTTACACTCAAAGTGGATTGGTCTCTCTAAGCGAAATCCCAATTTGTCGGTCATCCGACGTGACATCTCCATTCCCTCCTTCAGGGTTACATATGTAACCAAGACATTTCACAGGACTGCTTAATTACATGCTTATAAAGAAACGATAAAAGAGCGATAAAGAAGCATCTAAAATTAAAATGTATAAAAGCTTGATGGTATTCAGGTAAACAGAAATGAGAAGAAATATGGATCAATATATTGAATAGTTTGTCTAGTGTTAGGGTTAATGAATATGTTGTTTGTAAATATGTTGTTTATAAGTTGTTCAAGGAGGGGAGAGCACTTATCTTTTCTGATAAGCACTTATCTGTTCCAAGAATCTCAGAAAAACCTGATCTGAGAAAGGGGTTATTATTATTGCGGATTTAAAAAAAAAACTGTGTGGATTTTTATCATTATAGGGTGGATTTGTACACACACTGCCAACGCACATTTATGTTCAACTAACATGTAAAAGTGAATTTTGCATCTGATGATCCCTTTAATAGTTCTCCCTATAAACATGGGGTTTGTGATTGTAATGTTTTAAAAATAATAATTTGAAGATCAATGTAACCTCATTCATGGAAAGTTTCAGGGACATATAATTTATAAAAATGCATCAAAATGATCATTTTTGTATAGCAATTGTCTGCTTTACACTGTTACATCTGGTTTCATCAGGATTACTGAGAGTTACTGAAAATGAACCTCTTTTACTTATATTTGCAGAGTTGATTGAAAAAAACGAGGAGAGTGAAGAACTGAGTGAAGTTGATGAGAAAAAGCATGCTAAAACTGGAGAAAAACCTTCGAGTTGCTCTCAAACCAAACAGAAAGATTTAAAAAAAATAATAGCCAAGAAATCTTTCACCTGCACTCAGTGTGGAAAGAGTTTGACATGCAAATATAAATGTGAAGTTCACATTAGAGTTCATACTGGAGAGAAACTGTTCACATGTGATCAATGTGGGAAGAGCTTCACTCAGTCATCAACTCTTAAGGATCACATGAACATCCACACTGGAGAGAAACCATACAAGTGTTCACACTGTGACAAAAGATTCAGTCAGTCAGGAATCCTGAAAACACATGAGAGGATCCACACTGGAGAGAAACCATACAAGTGTTCACACTGTGACAAAAGATTCAGTCAGTCAGGAATCCTGAAAACACATGAGAGGATCCACACTGGAGAGAAACCATACACATGTGATCAGTGCGGGAAGAGTTTCACACAAAAAGAACACCTTAAGGGGCATATGAGGGTTCATACTGGAGAAAAGCCATTCTCTTGTGATCAATGTGGGAAGAGCTTTGCACACTCAGCAAACCTTAAGGATCACATGAACATCCACACTAGAGAGAAGCTGTACTCATGTGATCAATGTGACAAAACATTTTTGAGGGCATCATACCTAAAGAATCACCTGAGAGTTCATTCAAAGGAGAAATCACATTCATGTTATTTGTGTGGAAAGAGTTTTTTACGTCTACATTATTTAAAAGTACATCAGAAAACACACATTGCTGTGAGAGAGTACATGTGCTTTGAGTGTAAAAAGACTTTTACTTCAGCTGAACATTTGAAACGACACCAGAGGATTCACACTGGAGAGAAACCTTACAAGTGTCCACACTGTGACAAAAGATTCGGTCGGTCAGGACACTTGAAAACACACGAGAGGATCCACATTGGAGAGAAACCTTACAAGTGTTCACACTGTCACAAGAAATTCAGTCGGTCAGGAACTCTGAAAACACATGAGAGGATCCACACTAGAGAGAAACCGTATCACTGCACTGCATGTGGAAAGCATTTCAATCGTTCATATTCTCTACACAGACATACAAAAAACAATCACAGTAAGTAGATCATCTTCAGATCAGCACTTTCAGGTCTGATGCTGCGTCCTCACCAAATAAGACACAGTAATGCATTAAACAATTAAATATCATCTGGATAAATCTATCCTAACCAGACATTACAAGAGACATGACAAAGAAACATTATCTAAAGTTTCACAGTGAATGAAGTTCATCTTCATCTTCAAAACCAGCAGATTCAACTGAGAGATTCAGATCAACTCAAAGATGGAGTTCCTCCCCAAAGAACAATGTCAGAAAGGTTTATTATTGTGTATCATGTTGCTTCATTATATAAATGATATTGTGTTTTCTTATGAGTTTCATATTATGTTCAATTGTCTTTTAATGCATATGTGTCACCTGTAGTTTGCTTACTCTTTTATGAAGGAAAGTAGAAGATTTTTACAAACTGTTCTTGTTTAGGAAGCTGAAGAAGAGGCTGTAACACTATTAAGAGAGACTGAGATTTATCGTTGATTTGTTCTTTATTTTTGTTTTTGACTAGTTATTTTCCCACTTATGTGTTTAGAAAATGCAGATGCAGGATATACTGTCATGTAGCTTTGCAACTGATATTTCTTTGCTTCTCTTGTAAGTAGGGATGGTACCTGAACCCGGTATAAAACGAGCCCTGGGGCTAAATTACGAAAGACCGTAGTATTGATAAGTTCTGACGTTATCGGTTCTGTTTTTGCTACTGGAGAAATTAAGGAAATACACTTACAATTTATTATTGCTACATAAATGTTATCAAGCTAATTTAATCCTGCCAACCATTTTTATATGGGATAATATAGCGATATATTAGAGAAAATCTAATGTGTCATGAGGTTGGGGTGTGCGAGTATGGTTACTGAACGGTTCACAGGGCAAATTCCAAATGGAAGTGATCATCCCTATCCCTTTGGAGTGGGGACTTTGGAGTGAGCAGGGCATGTGTGTGCCATTATGTAGTCATTTGGAATGCACTTGGCAAAGGGAGCAACGTAATTTCCTCATCTTCAGCTGGCATGTTCCCGTGACAACGCAGCACGATGTCCGTCAGTAGATGTCGCTGTTTTACGGTCATAAATGTCTTTTTATTGTTGTTAGCATAACTGTTGCAAATAAACAAACAATTTATATTTTAAAAAGTTTTTAAAATATGCTATATAATATATAAAAACTAATATATATAAAACGTTTTAAAACATAAAATGTATTTATATTTTTTTATGCCGGTGTCCATCAGCGAATCTGCTGACGGACACCGTGCTGCGTTGTCACGGGAACATGCCAGCTGAAGATAATGAGGAAATTACGTCGCTCCCTTTGCCAAGTGCATTCCAAATGACTACATAATGGCACTCCCCCTTCTTACTCCAAAGTCCCCACTCCAAGGGGATAGGGATGATCACTTCCATTTGGAATTTGCCCCGTGAACCGTTCAGTACCGATACCCCTATCATGAAGAATTTATGGCTGCTGTGTGCGTGCTTCAGTTATGTCCACATGACCGTAGTAAGCCATTATTATAAGTTTTCACCACTGATCTATAATAGAGAATCTGTATTGCTATTCCCTAGTATCTCCATATATTCTATTGAATTAATAGGAAATCGTATGATTTGAATGGGAAAACATCACCTAACAAGTCAGCGTTTTTATATCTGAAGTATTCCTGTACATTATAACAACGCAAACATCCTATGCATGTACATTTTTTTTTTTAATAATGGGAATTCCCCTTGTGTATTAAAAAGTTATGCATCATATTCATAACAGTAGGGAACATCAGATGAACATCAGATGGATGGTATCCTCAATGTGTATTACACATGACAAAGTGCACATTATGATATTGGTACATATGTGGCACATATTATTATATATCTGAATAAAGTTTTATGCTTTGAATTTGCATATACTTTAATTCACCATGTAAATAATAGTATATTATTCTTATTGTGTTAAGAGTGTTGATGAATGCGGTCAACACAAGAACTACAGGAGTTAAATTCGCGGTCACTCTAGACATTGATCAAGTTAAGTTTCACTGTAAAGTTGAGCAGGAATGCAGGGAAATTGGCAATTGAGCTTGTGTTTCAGTGTCCCACATTCACATGAGTATGAATGGAAGTTAGTAGAACTGTTGGAAATTCAGACACAAAGATCAGGGAAACTTGTTTCTTCAGCAGGTTTCCTTGAGAATGTGCTGTGTGATGCTGCAGTCATCAAAGTTAAACTAATTCCGTGTTTCATTGTAGTTTATATACATTTTACAGGGTCGATGTTTAGAGATGGATACAAACACCTGGGTGACAACCAAGTGGCAACCTCCCGCTCTCTCTCGTGAAGCCAACAAGGAAGTGACTTAAACTGTAATTCATCAACTGGCCGCTAGAGGCTGGCTCCAAAAGGGAGTCAGTCCCATAGACTCCCCATGTTAAAATGTCCAACTTTACAGCAGAAAAACCATGTTTACAGCCTGGTTCAAAAAATGATTTTGGTCTATATAGCTAATTTTGCCCTTCATGTGAGGGGGTTAATTTTTTTTATAACTCATCCGTTTAAATTATATTAAGCCTTAAAGTTCTGCATAATTAAGGGCGTGGCCACTTGAGTGACAGGTGGATTGCCGCTGCTGTCACCACCGTCGAGCTAGGTGGGCGCGGTTTCAGCAACCTGCTCCCGCCTCTGCCCATTTTCGATTATCCGGGAGTGACACGCTGCCAACATGGCGACGGCCTGCTTCGCCCACTTTGAGCCTCAAAAACGCCCTTCGGAAATCTACGGGTGACATCACGGACACTACGTCCATGTTTTTATACAGTCTATGGTGACAACCTTAAATAAAGCATGCAAATGAAGTATTCAGGTATCCTTAGTATTCAGGTATAGCCCCAGACTCTATAGTTTCACACGTCCTGATCCAATCATTATTACTCTTTAAAGAATAGGATGGGCCTCAACAAGCCATTAAAGATAATAGGAGAGAGTCTCTGGAATCTGGCTGTTTGGCTTACAATGAAGAGAACAGGAACCTCATGCTAGAGACTTTGCTTACAAGAATCATTCATCCGATGTCATCAGTTTTACCTTAATTAGGGGTTCAAGTGCAGTTGCTACTTCCAGGAGTGACATCTAAACTTGTGACTCATGTTGTACCAGACACACTCTGAGGGACGCTGAAGGCCAAAATCCATCTAGTGTGCAATGTTTTAACCATTTTAAATGTGTCTATTGTTGTAGCCAGGTTGTGAATAAAGCAGAGTTTCCACGGGTCTTAAAAAGTCTTAAAAAATAAAATTTAAGGCCTTAAAAAGTCATAAATTGTACAAGAAAGTCTTAATTATGATTTCAAGAGGTCTTAAATTTGGGGACGGAAAGACCAGAATTGCGATATGGCTGAATGTGACGATCAGAGGTGGACAGTAACTAAGTACATTTACTTGAGTATTGTACTTAAGTACACTTTGAGTATCAGTACTTTACTTGAGTATTATTTTTTCTGGGAACTTATGACTTTAACTTCACTACATTTGAAAGACAAATATTGTACTTTTCACTCCACTACATTTCTATCAAGGTCCTCGAAGTAGAAAGTCGTTACTATGTAGCAGCTTTGAAAGTCAGTGGGTGAGTTTTTTCTTCTCTAAAATGTTACTCTTTTTTTTCAGACAGTTTATCAGTAATCACTCTTGGGGCTACATGAAGTGATTTCCCAGCATCTTTTGAACACTGCCCAGTTGCAAACGTGATATATATTTACAACAATTCAATAATAATAAGTTAATATTGTGGTATGTATTAGACACAATATTGTCTGATTTTGCTAAATTGTGTAGGTGAAAATATTACCTATAAAGCCACAGAAGAAGTGTTGTGCGTCTCCTAATAAAACACAATAGGTGTTGGACTTGAAGCAGCACTGCACAGACCATTCTGTGTGTGACATCAAAGTACTGCGAGAGCGATTAGACAGCATTTAAAAAATTTGTTTTGATGTCAGATAAGTCTTGCTGTTTTGCTTTTTTGTTAAAGCAGTGTTGCTGTTGTAAAGTTATACAGCTACAGTCGTGTTGCTGGGTTTTAAAGCAGGTTCGATTTTTTTTCTTCCTTATCACTCTGTATTTACAGGATTTCACTGTCCACTCTGTTCAAATGTGGATGAATGGCTACACATAGATGTGTGCACACACTGTCAGAGCTGTGTGAGATCACTACCATCCTGCTTTTGTGGGGGTGGGTAGGGGTGTTAAATATTTTCCCCCAAAGGTTTTTAACATTCTAAAAGCTCATTATTCCAAATATACTACAAGCTAGTAGCTGTAATGTATTCTAAGTTGCATCAGACGTATAGCAAGTATTACGTACAACAATAAAACAGTGCATTGACATAAAAAAGAAATTTACTTTTGATACTTAAGTACTTTTAAAAGCAAGTACTTCTGTACTTTTACTTAAGTAAAAATCTGTCTTTACAACTTTTACTTGTAATGGAGTAATATTTGACCAGCAGTATCTGTACTTTCACTCAAGTAATAGAGTTGAGTACTTTGTCCGCCTCTGGTGACGATTAAACTTAAAAAGGCTATGATTTCATTAAATAAACACAAGCGTTGCACGTTCAGAGTCTGGTGCTGCTGCTTTGTGTTCTGCCGTTACCGGGAAAACAGTTAGCCTATATTTCTACCAAACGCTCCACCTGCTGGCAGAATGAATGAGCATTTTCAATAAAACTGATGTTTAGTTCAGATTTCAGACAAATGCAGAAATCGACCCATGTTTTAACCCTCCAAACACGCAGAGCTTTAAATGTGAACTGATGAATCGATAAGAAGACAATGCATTATAAAAATCTAAACAGAATAGGGGTGTGCGATATGTATGGTCTGCAATAATATCGCAATTGTTGTTTTAATGA